GGGGGGGGGGGTCCAAAAATCGTTCACTAGGACAGACCCATTATTTGAGTAAAGGAATTGGACTGAATTTAATAGCCGGTTAGGTTAAGACATTGGGCCGAGCGCTGCGGCTAGGGCAGACTAGGAGGCAGAGCGCTGCGGCTATGACAGGCTTAGAGAATGAGCGCCGCGGCTAGGACAGGCTGGTTCCTGGCGCTTTTAACGAGAAAAGATGATGTGCAAAATTGATAGGAGGGGGAAGCAAAAAATCGTTCTCTATGAAATTATCAGTTATGTTGTAATACAAACGTATAAACGAGCTTCTTCTATACTTTTCAATCTTATATCTTCATTAATGTATATCTTGTAGCACCTAAAGATGAACCAAATTTCAGACTCCAATATGTCGACAGAGCTGGAAAATAGCTTTGAGGAAGAAATCGATCTAAGAGATGAATTAAGTAAACTTAGCATTCATCTCAGGTTAGTAAAGGGAGAGGGGGTGGGGGTCGTATATACCCCCAACCTCCTTTCAATCGTAGGCATTGCATTTATCTGTATCACTAAATAGACAAAGATAAATTATTTGCTGCAGCTTTCAGCCTCCAAGCCTCGGTACACTGCCCTCTAGTCTTTCCAAAAGCAGTGCTTCTATTACAATTAAAATGTTAGAGTAACCATTTTGATTTTAAACTACTTAAAACAATGTATACGATTGATTAGGGGTTGTGAGTGTGTCTTAGACCGGAGTTAACTGGTGAAGGTTCAATCCTATCTCAATAATAATTAGACATATAGCTGAAGTACCCGCGTTGCCCGTGGGAATAAAATCGTTTTTTTAGCTATAGTCACCCCAGGCTACCAAATGAGTGTCCACAAAAAAATTCAGCCCATTCGGTCTAGCCGTTTGGCCGTCTTTAAAGAACATTTATACGAATGTCTTATTTTATTTTCAGATATAAGCCCAAAGGAGTAATGCGCATGCCGCGTTGAATTACAAGACAAAGAGAGAGTCTGTTCTAAGCGTGGCGCTCAGCCCCCTAGCCTGTCCTAGTCCGCAGCCCTCGGCCCAGAAAATTTCTTAACCCCACCTAACCCTTAAATATACTAATCAATCTATTTCTTGTAATTCAACACGGTACTCGCTTAACTCCTTTGGGCAATTGCCTAACTATCAAGGACAAATACTGAATACTGCATGAGAAGAGAACAAGAAATTCCAGCCTACCTGGAAGTTGACGGGCTTGCTCTAGGATTTGAGGTAGTTAAGTCGTAGCGTTAGCTTGCAGTTGTAAATACATGCTGGTAATTTCCTTGAAGGATTTGTTGCCCCCCCCCCTACCCTTCATAAAAAATGTACAGAAATTATTGCACATGTGGCTGTTTCGCTTAGCCCCATAGCCGGAGCGATCAGCCCAGGAATTGTCTTCACCTGACCTAACCCAGAGAAAAATAAAAAGGTACATTTTTAGGAAGGAGGGGGGGGGGGGGGCAAAAATTATTTTAAGGAATTGAGCCTGTCCCATTAGAATTTACATTTTCATTTAACAGCTAATAACCCCAAACATTTAATTTTCATGAAACCAGTTAAGTACGGGACAAATGCAGACAGTCGATGTTTTGGACGAATTTTTTTTCTCAACTTTTTTCTTAATAATTAACCCTCTATAACCCCCTCACCTCTAGTAATAAGTATCTGGCACACATTTGATAAAAAAATCAATTCTATTATTTTTATTTTGATAATAAATGTGAAATGTGATAGGGATATAAAATAGAAATATTTTTCTACAAATGGTATCGGTTAGCATTGGCAAGCATGCGTAATGCGTATTGGTATAAAGAGAAGGAATTTTCTTAAACACAAAGTGTAATTTTCTTAACTATAAATAAAAATATTTAGTATTAGTATAAATATATTCAATGATTTTTTCAGGAAGTTTACAAGGAGAAAAATGAGCTCATGGACACCCTTAATAAATACCAGGAAAACTTTTATTAAAGGACCTGCCTCCTCTCCCTTCCAACCCCCTCTCAAACCAGAAAACATACTGAACATACTGATAGAATTGTCGATCAAAGGGATTCTTATCGCTACTTTTTTTTACACCTTTTAAAGACGGTTATTTACTTTTCATATTACACAACTGAATCCTATTCCCGGAAATTATGTTGGATGAGATTTCGAATATGCTTTTTAGTTTTTTTTCAGAAATTGGATAAATTTCGGCCATTTTCTTCTTTCTGGTTTTAAACTGTAATTTATGACAATATTTACCCGATACAAGTTTTTATTTAATTTTATAGTTTTTAAAGTTTTTTCAAGAAATATCTTTAAACTTAAAAAAAATATTAAATAATTACTAAATAATTGAAAAAAAACTTTCTTCTGCTGGCTTTTAAACAATTGGTGAAATATTACAAACAACTTTTCACTCTTATTTAATAATTGTACACCAGGAAATTTGTTTCATTAGTGTCAAATGAATCCTAAAATTTTTCTCTCCAATACTGCACGTTTAGCTCGAATATCTTACATAGCCGTAATTTCTCCCTTTTAACTTTCTAAAAGTTTCTTCCAGAAATATCCTAAAAAAAATTTTTTAAAAAAGGGATGTCTTGATTTTTTAAAGGTTTGTGTGTATAGGCAGGAATGGTGGAACTTGGAAGAGAAATAAAGAATCAACAATCAACAAGAACTGAAGCTGATGCTAATATCAAGCAAGTAGGTAAGTGCAGAGGTGGGGGGGNCCAGTGGATGAACTTTTATAGTTTATCCCTTCTATTCCCTCTAACAAGTGAGTAAAATTCGCTAAAATTTGATATTTTTTTACTGTGCTGAACTGTGTCTGAATTGTTTCAGTAAAAATATTTATTTAAAATACTAAGATTAATTTGTTTTTAGCGGATCTGAGAAAACTGTGCGAGACTAAGATTAGTGACTTACGAAGAATACAGGAAACTCAAATTCAATGACAAATCAATTATAGCTTTTCAAAGCTTTAGATACAAGGATTTATAATTTCTAGAGTCAATATTGTTAAAGAACATATTCCACATTTTCCTTGTAATTTCATGATACCTTTATCAACAAACTCAACTTAACTTGAGTTGATAGATGGATCTTGATGTCCTGAAGAAACAAGAAATGGAGAGGAAGAATGGATCCAAGGACAAATTGGAGGAGTTGGAGCAGGAGATAAGGTTAGTCAGTAGCTAGTAGAAGATAGGTTAGCCAGGAGCTAGTAGATGGTAAGTTAATCAGGAGCTAGTAGAGGATAGGTTAGTCAGGAGCTAGTAGATGGTAAGTTAGTCAGGAGCTAGTAGAGGATAGGTTAGTCAGGAGCTAATAGATGTTAGGCTAGTCAGGAGCTAGTAAAGGATAGGTTTGTCAGGAGCTAGTAGATGGTAGGTTAGTCAGGAGCTAGTAGATGTTAGGTTAGTCAGGAGCTGGTAAAAGATAGGTTAGTTAGGATCTAATAGAGGATAAGTTAGAAAGTAGCTGGTAGATGGCAGGTTTGTCAGGAGCTTGTAGAGGATAGGTTAGTCAGGAGCTACTAAAGGATAGGCTAGTCAGGAACTACTAAAGGATAGGTTAGTGAGGAGCTAGTAAAGGATAGGTTAGTCAGGAGCTAGTAGATGTTAGGTTAGTCAGGAGCTTGTAGAGGATAGATTAGCCAGGAGCTAGTATGTGATAAGTTAATAGTTAATAAGACAGTAAATAGCTTTCAATTTTCCGGGGTTTTTTGAGATTTCATTTATTTTCATTTATGATTGTGCAAAGTTTCATTTAGTCCTACTAGGTAGTTCAAGAGTCTTTGGAGAAAATAGATGTAATCTAGCTAAACTGTTTTATTTAGGAATGAGGCTTCAAGTCTTGGTTTAGAATTTATGAGAACATCTCATGGTTCCCTCATTCTCTGCTTCACATCTATCAGTAGATCGGACCCAGAAAAGTAAAACTTTATTATTATCATTATTATCATTTTTCTCATTGTCGTTGTTGTCGTTATCGTCGTTGTCTTGTTTTCGTTTTTGTTTTCATTGTCGTTGTTGTTGTCCTTGTCCTTGTCCTTGTCCTTGTCCTTGTCCGTGTCCTTGTCCTTGTCATTGTCCTTGTCATTGTCCTTGTCATTGTCATTGTCATTGTCATTGTCATTGTCATTGTCATTGTCATTGTCATTGTCTTGTCGGTGTTGCCGTTTGGTAGTCATTGTCGTCGTTGTTGTTGTCATTGTTGTCGTTTTCGTCGTTGTCTTGTTATCATGGTCGTTGTTGTTGTTGTCGTTGTTGTCAGTTCAAAGTTGTTTGTGTCAATGTTGCCACTGTCAATGGTGTCTGTGTCAATGTTATCTGTGTCATTGTTGACACATCTGTTCAGAAAATACTTCTGTGAAGTGAAGGTTTCTGAGAGAAAATATCACTGTCTTCAGACCACACCTGCTCTTCAAGATATAGGTTGGTTTTTCAATATTGATATTTCAGTTTATATTCCATGATATCTATTTTACTCTATAATCGACATTTCAATTTATATTCCCTTGATATCTCCTTTACTCTATTATTGATACTACAGTTTATATTCCCTTGATATCTTCTTAACTCTATTATTGATATTTCAGTTTATATTCCCTTGATATTAACTCTACTGTGCTTATTGATATTTCAGTTTATATTCCCTTGATATTAACTCTACTGTGCTTATTGATATTTCAGTTTATATTCCCTTGATATTAACTCTACTGTGCTTATTGATATTTCAGTTTATATTCCCTTGATATTAACTCTACTGTGCTTATTGATATTTTTATTTAGATACCTTAATATCGACTCTGAATCAATCCAATGATTTCTCTGGGTTCTGTGTCTCTCTAAGGAATAAATTTACCCTCTTTTTGCTTCGTCGCTTTGCTTTCTTTCTTTTGGAATAAAAGTATTGTCAAGGGTTTAAACAAATTGTTCACTTTGCATTTTCCGGTATAAAAAAACGTATTTTCAATTTTTATGTAATATGAATTTGTTTCAAAGATGGTTTGATTTAAACTATCCTACACGAACGCGTTTAAATCTCATTGTGCTCTGCTGTGCATAGAAAGATAATTAAGTGTCCTGAGGACAATGTTCAATTTATTTAAAATTCACACTTATTTTATTTTAACGAGCCCGTCTTATTATGAATGTTAAATGGGGGTGGGGGTGGGGGGTAGAATGTCTTAGACAAATTTATTTCAATTTTAACAAATTTAGAGGTATTCGGATAACTGTTCATATAAATATCCGCAGATTATTCTATTCAAGTACTTTTTAGTCTTCCTAAAATGTGACAACGCCTTTTAAAGCTTAAAGCAAGGGTACATTTATCGCAGGAAAAGATTCTCTGCTCTTTCTTAAACCTAACTGTATCAGTGTATGGGCAATATGGAACTTTTTTAAATTTTAAGATAACTCATTGAACTTATGAACTTTTTAAATAATGTAAAAATTTCGGTCTACAAAAAACGTTTTTTTAATAGTTAATAAAGTTATAATAAGATTATGTTCTATACTTTTGAACTATTTAACGGATTAATCTATTAAGAGTTCTAAAATATTTTAGATTTTGCAATTTAAATTTTGAAGTTAACGAAAAACATTCGGTTTCAGTTTAAGTACGCTGTTATGAACATCAACGAAAAGTAATGAACAGTTTTTATCAAGTTGATTTGTTTATGGTTTAGAAAGGGACTTTTAAGATTGCATGCTTCCAGTTTTATTTAGAAATAAAATTCAAGTATAATATGTTTAAATATATTTACTCTCAATAAACGATAATGGTACCGTTGTCTTTGTATGATAAAAAAGTAAATTGAAAAAAGATATTTTAATGAAGTGTTTACACGATACGCCGAACCGAAGATGAGATTGAACAGCCATGAACAGGTATGGAAGGATTTGCAGCCATGAACAGAGGAAGGGAAGGATTTGCAGCCATGAACAGAGGAAGAAAAGGATAAGCAGCAATGATCAGAGGATGGGAAGGATGAGCTGCCATGAACCGAGGAAGGGACGGTTGAGCAGCCATGAACCGAGGAAGGGAAGGATGAGCAGCCATGAACTGAGGAAGGGAAGGATGAGCAGCCATGAACCGAGGAAGGGAAGGATGAGTAGCCATGAACCGAGGAAGGGAAGGATGAGCAGATATGAACCGAGGAAGGAAAGGCTAAACAGCCAGGAACCGTGGAAGGGAAGGACAAGCAGCCATGAACCGAGGAAGTGAAGGATGAGTAGCCATGAACTTAGGAAGGGAAGGATGAGCTGGCATGAACCGAGGAATGGAAAGATAAGCTACCATGAACTGAGGAAGGGAGGGATAAGCTGCCATGAACCGAGGAAGGGAATGCTAAGCAGCAAAGAACCAAGGAAGGGAAGGCTGAGCAACTATAAACAGAGGAAGGGAAGGATAAGCCGCCATGAACAGAGGAAGGGAAGGATTATCATACATGAAAAGAGGAAGGGAAGCATAAGCTGCCATGAACAGAGGAAGGGAAGGATTAGCATCCATTGAAAGGGGAAGGGAAGGATAAGCCGCCATGAACTCGGCAGAAAAATCACGAATACCTCATAGCTATGGGCTTTAAACCCCGAAGAAAATCTTTGAATCCCTCACAGCCAAACATTACATTATGGGTATTTTTTATATATTTTTTTTTCGATTTTGCTTAGGACTCTACCATAGCTTTCGCACATGTTGATAAACGGGAGAAAAATCTGTATATATGTCATTTCAGGAGTTTTATTCTGTATTAAAGTGGGAACCAGAGAACTCTGGAAAAAGAAGTATACTTTTAGACTTTAAATAGTACACTAAACATGAGAAACATCAACTGTGCTGAGTAAACAGATTTGCTCTAATGTCGTCTTCCTATTCCACTGTTTTCTGGGTATTACTGTACTTTCCGACAAATTTTAATCTCAATCAGCATAATACTGAAGAGCCCCAGGAATTAATGGACTTGACCTCTTTCTTACATAAAAATGAGATTTTGTTGACTGACCAAAAATCGATTAAGTCAAGAAATATATAGACCAGGAACCGCCGTATATGATGCGTCAAAACTGTACTGCAGTGGGAGGAGATCAAAACAATGAACTCAGGGACAACGCATAATTTTTGAATAAGAAAAAGAATATATTGCTATTGAATTTTTCATATTGACTAGAAAGCCAAAAATCATAAGTATTCTCTCTAACTTATTAACTTGTATTTTGTTGGACTTTAATATCAAATCAGAGCTCTAGTCCTTTCCCTTCAACTTCTGTGGGGGCACTGGGTTTGTTTACATTCCTCCCACAGAGTACAGTACACAATTTGTGTATATCTGAGTTGGGCGTTCCTGTATATAGTTCCTTGGATTCAGTTCTCTTTTGGATCCAAACAAACAAAATATATAAAAATCGAAATCAACACAAAGTTTAGTAAATTTTATTCAAATTTCAACATTTTTATAATTATTTTTTTATTACTAATCGAATTAAATCAACTTGAGTTTCCCTTGCAATTTATGTACACATCTTGTTTGTTGAGTGCCTAGGGTATTGTCAGCGTCATTTAGCCACAATTTTAAAGAAAAGACGGTAAAATAGTTAAAACTTGACCAGAAAATTTAAAAATTATCTCCCTTAAACTCATTATTTTTTCTGCAATTTAACGAGAATTTCTCCAAAAAAAAAATCCTGAAGGTTTAGATTTTAAAGCTACACATTTCTGAAAATAGGGCAAGTTCGGCTACTAAAATGAAAATACTTATTACAATTTTCCTAATATTCGTTCTTCCTAATACATGATCATCCTCATCCTACAGCAGGAGGGAACCCACGGCCTCCATTAACCTCTCAGTTTAGGTATACAACGCCGAGCCTCCGCTATGAAGTAAATTTTTTTTAACAAAACTTGAAAAGTTTTTTATGCGGAAAGGAAGATATTCAGAAAAAAATTATAAAGTGAATTCGATTTGATTTGTTAAAATCTCTCATTTTAGCGATACCTTTTGTTTACAATGTTGTTTATGTTTAGATGAATCTTAGAATGCAAAATTATTGTTTTTGAGAGTTATCCAAATTTAGGGGAAAAAAATAACAAAAGTTTTTCTTAAATCAAAGAGTTTAACAAATCGAATTAATTTTTAATTTGTTTTCTTTATATCTTCCTTTTTGCGTAAAAAACTTTGGAAGTTTGAGTATAAAATTTGTCCTGCATAGTAAGCGGAGGCTCGCTACTGCATAGCAAATCTGGGAGGCTCATGGCGGCCTGGGGTTCCCTCCCTATGCAAAGTATGTCTTCTTAATACATGTTGAGAGCAATACTCTTCCTAAGAGTTCCACACTTGACCTCGTCGATGTAAAGGCTGTTCGCCTTCTTTGAGATTTCATCCTCTAATTCTAATAATGTTTTCTGGAGTCCACTGTAGCAATGCTTCGCCTAGAAACAAAATCGTTAATAAATGGTCTATCTTTCACCTTATGCAAATCCGCTATATTCCACTGCTGACCTACGCCGAATCCGCTATATTCCACTGCTGACCTACGCCAAATCCGCTATATTCCACTGCTGACCTACGCCAAATCCGCTATATTCCACTGCTGACCTACGCCAAATCCGCTATATTCCACTGCTGACCCACGCCAAATCCGCTATGTTCCACTGCTGACCTACGCCGAATCCGCTATATTCCACTGCTGACCTACGCCAAATCCGCTATATTACACTTCCGACCTATTAGCACGTAGTTTTACAGGTGCTTTTATCTTGGTTTCTCAAAACATTCGACAATTCTGTGAAAAGAGTCAATCATGTCATATTCTTAATATATGTGATTTAGTTTTACAGTTTTACCTCCGAATTACCAAAATGTCTCCTTTTTTTGTTTTAACCTCACTGGCGGTTTGAATAATAAAGTTCAGATTTAGATTTAAATGTAGAAGAAACCCAGAACTGTATAAATCATCTCTTTACTTGTCGTTCATTTTTACAAAAAAAAACCTATTAAAAAAGTTTAACCTGTAAAATTCCTCCCTCTAGTCTCTTTATAATCTCTAGAAGTGTTCCTTGCTCCCTACTTAGATGGTCATCAACCTGGAAACAGATTGTCAGCTGATGTTGAATTCACACTGTACGCTAGCGTAAACTCCAGTTTTTATGGCAATTTTACCATACCATTTTCAAGTTAAACACACAGAGTTGTATACCACCATTAATAAGTTAAAGGTTTAATGGGTACTGATGTTCTCCTCTTTACGTGAAGGATCACTTGAAACCCCTTGCAGTCCCTCTAAGCACTTAAAATAACTTGCCGTGTAACTGGGAATAATAAAGATTGTCTTTTGTATAGCGGGGGAAGTGGGGGCATAGATATAGGATGTGGAGTACAATTGACCCCTTCATGACCTTCACCGCAAGTGTGACATTACAGGGAAACTAAAGTTTTCTAAATTAAAATTCCTTTTACCTGTACAAATAATTTATGAAATAATTGCAATCTTATCTGAAACCATTTATCTAAAGTCGAATATCCATTTTACAATGTTTTGTTAACTACTCTGTGAAATCCTTGTCATAGATAAGTGAGACTGTACCTCATCATGGCAGTATTCCATTCCAGGTCTAAGTTTTCTCTGCTGAATTTTAGCCTAGACAATATTAAATTTGTTATATGTTATTTTTTATCTCTTAGCCTAAATGCGCTTTAAATTCATTAAATAATTTTAATGACATTTTATATGGATTTGAACCTTGAACTTTTCTGATACAGTTAAACCCTAAATAAGCCATACATCGAAAGAATTCATCTATAACGTCGTATTTTTCACTTTCTGATAATGGAATGTTGCATAAATTTAGTTTTTTAATTAAATGATTATATGGAGCTCTTTAAAAAACTGTTCCCACATATTCATGGCTTTTTATTTATTTTTGCAATTACTGTGATTTACGTAAAATAGTAAAAAAAACCATTGAAAATTGTCAAGACGACATTTGATAAATTCTTTTGGTGTATGGCTCATTTAGGGTTTAACTATATGTTAGTTCAATCTTAACATTTAAGTTGAAATAAAATATTTTCTAGCTTAATAATGACATTTTATACAACTTTGACCCAGACAAAGACTAACTTTAACATTAATTTTGACCTTAACTTTGACCATAAAGAAATTGACTCTGAAATTAACGTTGTCCTTAACTTTGATCTTAACTCTGATATAAACTTTGACCTAAATGTTGACCTTAACTTTGACCTTAACTTATACCTTAACTTTGACCTGGTCTTTGATCCTGACCTTAATCTCTGATCCTAACCTTAATCTCTGATCCTGACCTTAATCTCTGATCCTAACCTTAATCTCTGATCCTGACCTTAATCTCTGATCCTGACCTCAATCTTAATCCTGACCTTAATCTTGATCCTGACCTTTATTTCTACATTTCTTTCAACTTTGAACATAACTGTGACCTTAATATTGACCTATCCATTTTCATGTTCTTTGACCTTTCCATTGACCTATACTTTGACCTTTCCATTTTCCTATACTTTGACCTTTCCATTTTCCTATACTTTGACCTTTCCATTGACCTATACTTTGACCTTTCCATTTTCCTATACTTTGACCTTTCCATTTACCTAGACTTTGACATTTCCATTGACCCATACTTTGACCTTTCCAATGACCTATGACTTTTCCAATGACCTATACTTTAACCTTTCCATTGACTTGTACTTTGGCCTTTCAATTTTCCCATACTTTGACCTTTCCAGTGACCTATACTTTGACCTTTCCATTGGCCTATAATTTGACTTTTCCGTTGACCTATACTTTGACCTTTCCATAGACATTTACTTTGACCTTTCCATTGACCTTTACTTTGACTTTTCCATTGACCAACACTTTGACTTTTCCGTTGACCTATAACTGTATACTTTGACCTATCCATAGACCTGAAAACTTTAAATATATTTAACCTGACAAGTTGCAAGAGGACCCTGTTTAGCCATCAGAGCTTGCTCTAGAGATTTAATTGTGTCATCAACCTGGAGAAAATGAATTTAACTTTTTAAAAATCTCGAATTATTTGTTGATGAAATCTTGATTTATAAACAACTAGCTAAAGTGCCAGACATTCCCCGAAAAAATGTAAAGAAAAAATATATGTATGTTATAAATTTCCACCTCTTGAATTTTGACAATAGTTTCAGCTTTCTGCTCTTCCAGTTTTGTTTTAGCTTCCCTGATTTCTCCTATCCGACGGCTAAAGAAAACAAATATTATGAAAAGTTTTAAAAACAGTTTGAGGGCTAACATTCTACAAATTTGTGGCAAACACACAGGGTGGCGTTATTTTTACATAATCAACGGTTGTGAATTAAATATATTTTACATGTCCCACTGGTGTACATTTGAATATCCGAGCTGGGCCAATCCTTGCAGTCCCACCGGTGTACATTTGAATATCCGAGCTGGGCCAATCCTTGCAGTCCTACTGGTGTACATTTGAATATCCGAGCTAGGTCAATCATTGCAGTCCTACTTTGGACTGCAGTGCAGCCAATTTACATTTACTAAAGCGGCAGAAGAGTATGTTAAAGGTTTTTATATTTTTAACGATCTTTAAACTTTATAGTTTGGGATAGATTACATGATAATTTTGAAATAAACGAATTTTTTAATTTTAATACATTTTTTCTCGCTATTTAAGCCTCTTTTTTTGGTGCACTATCCGAAAGAATGAAAAGGTTCTTGCCCAGATTTTCGTTTTAAGTATTGTGACACGGCTTTTAGATCCCCAGTCTCGGGCTTTTTCTTCTTGTATTTATAGGCAATTCAAAGAGTAAAGATATTTGATTTACTCATTTTTATTTGCAATTTTACATCAAATCATTTGTTTTACATTTCCCGCTTCTTGGTCAAATTAATGAATTTTTGATAAAAATTATGATATTTAATCGGCAACAAATTCTGTGTGAAGAAATGAGAAGATGACCGTAAGATAACAATCGATGCGGAATGAAATTGTAAATTTATGTTTTAGCCAACTTTCTCTAAAGTTTGTCAAAACAACAGTTTTGATTAACCGTCATATTATTTTTCAATATTTTTAGTTTCACGTGGGTTTAAATAAGAGCTAAGGCTTAAAAAGTTATTCACAACAAACAAAGAATTTTAATCAAACATAAAATTTACTTAAATTTGGTTCGACGTCTTATGCATTAAACAAAAGACAGATATATCTGTAATTAAATAAATGACTTAACTCTCTTAACTCCTGAATTAAAGACCTCTGATTTTACCTGAAAGCCAAATTTGTGACATCAACCGAAGTTTTCATATTTGAGGCAACTTGAGCAAGTATTCCATTTACCACGGACCTATTCCATTTTCATTATTATCATTATCATCTTTGTTATCATTATTATTGTTATTATTGTTATTATTGTTATAATTGTTATTATTTCATTGATATTGTTTTATTATGATTATTATTATAACTATTGTTATTATTATTATTATTGTTATTATTCAATATCATTATTATTATCATTATTATTATTATTATTTTTATTATTATTATTATTATTATTATTATTATTATTATTATTATTATTATTATTATTATTATTATTATTATTATTATTATTATTATTATTATCTTTATTATCTTTATCACTTTTACTTTTATTACTATCATAATTATTAATATTATTTACGTTCTTTTTACAATAAATTGCAGAGTTTTTTTTAAAGAGGTTCATAGTTTTAAGTTAAATCAGCAATAAGTTGTCGAGTGTGTATTATTAACAACTTATTATTATTTTATTACATATTGTTTATTAAAATAATGTAAACACCTAAGCTGGTAAGAACCCTCCACTTGTCTTGTTGCCTTATCCAGGTTTTGCTGGGTTAGGTTGACCCAATCAGAGACAGATACAGGGTGTCCAGTTCTTAATTAATACAGGGTGTCCAGTTCTTAAATAATACAGGGCGTCCAGTTCTTAAATAATACAGGGTGTCCAGTTCTTAAATAATACAGGGTGTCCAGTTCTTAAATAATACAGGGTGTCAAGTTCTTAAATAATACAGGGCGTCCAGTTCTTAAATAATACAGGGTGTCCAGTTCTTAAATAATACAGGGTGTCCAAGTTCTGAAATAAGGGTGTCCAGTTCTTAAATAATACTGAGCGTCCAGTTCTTAAATAATACAGATTGTCCAGTTCTTAAATAATACAGGGTGTACAGTTCTTAAATAATACAAGGTGTCCAAGTTCTTAAATAATACAGAGTGTCCAGTTCTTAAATAATACAGGGTGTCCAGTTCTTAAATAATACTGAGCGTCCAGTTCTTAAATAATACAGGGTATCCAGTTCTTATATAATACAGGGTGTCCAGTTCTTAAGTAATACAGGGTGCCCAGTTATTAAATAATACAGGGCGTCCAGTTCTTAAATAATACAGGGCGTCCAGTTCTTAAATAATACAGGGTGTCCAGTTCTTAAATTATACAGAGTGTCCAGTTCTTAAGTAATACAGGATGCCCAGTTATTAAATAATACAGGGCGTCCAGTTATTAAATAATACAGGGCGTCCAGTTCTTAAATAATACAGGGTGTCCAGTTCTTAAATAATACTGAGTGTCCAGTTCTTAAATAATACAGGGTGTCCAGTTCTTAAATAATACAGGGCGTCCAGTTCTCAAATAATACAGGGTGCCCAGTTCTTAACCCTAATTTATGTTTAATGTTTTATTATTCGAAAGAAAAAATTACAGTTCGTTAAGAGAATTTTGTTTTGACCCGCAATTGGCACATTTATTGCTCTTCCTTTTCAATCATCGGAAGAAAATTTTCTACCTGGCTATTTAATTTTTTAGACCTCGCAAACTAAATGATTTTTCTTCTTCCCTACCTTCCATGTTGAACTGATGTAGTTTTTATTCCACTCTTTTTACCACCACTGCCCAAACTTGTAACCTTGATTCCTTTTGCCACCTCATCTACCTAGGGAGAAGCATCGTTTAGAGCACTTTAAGGGTTTTTTTACATTCTTTGTGGAGACTCATGAAAGCCCAAAAATTCTTAATGTTCAAAAAACGAATAATAAAGATACCCGACTTTACCCCTTTCTATATAAAATCTTCCCTTTAGTTAGCACATTTTGTCTCTCCTTTTATAAATTTTTTTATTTTTTTATTTTTGATTGCTTGATTTATTGATCACTTTTTTTGATTGATCTATTAATTCTTTGTTGATTGATTGCTCGATCTGTAAGTTAAATGGTTGATTAATTGGTTAAATGATGGAATGGTTGATTGATCAATTGGTTATTAGGTTGGTTTGTTGAATGCGTGATTAACTGATCAATGATTTGGTTGATTACTTGATTGTTTGAGTGATTAATTGATCATTAAATGATAAGTGTTGCTTTAATAAAAGTTGATTGATTGATTAATTGATAAGTTACCTGGATTGCCAACTCCTTTTCACTGTGCTCCTTCTCGATCAGAAACTTGCATTTCTTCAGCAGCCGCAGCTAAATATTTTCAATAAATTTCTCTTCTAGAAAATTTTTATTCTGAACATTTTTAGATTATTTTTATTCAAAAATAAATTTTGAACATTTTTATTTTGAAAATATTTAAAATATTTGAAAATATTTTGAACAAAAAATTAGCGTTGAATTAAAACAGCATGAAGTACAAGTTGAGAGCGAATTCTTCATGATTTAAAAAAACATTTTAACAGATTGGTTTTATAAAACAGCAGATTATCTGGAACAGTTTAAAACCATTATAAATCACGGAACCCGAAAACTGTGACTTAGATCCCATTTTGACATATAAAACATATAAAAATAAATTTTGAAAATTTTTATTTTGAAAATATTTAAGAATGTTGTATTCTTAAGCATTTTTAGAGCTTGAAAAATGGTATAAATATATTTAAGCTACGTTATTAATTTATGAATGCTATCCCTGGTTATTAATTAAATTTCAAAGATTTTTACAAAAAAATTGATTCAAAAATTGATACAAAAAGTTTAACAGAGTCTTAAGAAAATTTTTTTTGCTTTTATGGTAGTCAAATTATAAACACCAGTTAAATATGTTAACAAATATTTTGAACAAAAAATTAGCGTTGAATTAAAACAGCATGAAGTACAAGTTGAGAGCGAATTCTTCATGATTTAAAAAAAAAACATTTTAACAGATTGGTTTTATAAAACTGCAGATTATCTGGAACTGTATAAAACCATTATAAATCACGGAGATTTATCGGTACGTTCCTTATCCCCGAAAACTGTGACTTAGATCCCATTTTGACATATAAAACATATTTTTTCAAATTTAAAAATTCGAATAGGAGAAACAGAATGCATCTCGCCCTGATTAGTCTGGGGTTACATATGGATACATAGTTCTTGATTTAGTACATACCCATCCCCCTGCCCTGTACAGGGTGTCCCAAAAAACATTCAGAACAAATACGATTTTGTGTTCGTCAATTAATTGCTAGGTTGATTGCAGAAACCCCTGTGTAAACCTGTTCTTCCATCTGCATACTAGTCTGTCCTAGAAGTCCTTGTCCAGAGTTTAGAGATTCCAATTCAACATCCAGGCTCCCATCCACCTCATCCCTATACAATAGAATATATATAGGCTCCCATCCACCTCATCCCTATACAATAGAATATACCTAGGCTCCCATCCACCTCATCCCTATACAATAGAATATATATATAGGCTACCATCCACCTCATCCCTATACAATAGAATATATATAGGCTCCCATCCACCTCATCCCTATACAATAGAATATATATATAGGCTACCATCCACCTCATCCCTATACAATAGAATATATATATAGGCTACCATCCACCTCATCCCTATACAATAGAATATATATTTGCTACCATCCACCTCATACCCGATAAAATAGAATATAGGCTACCATCCTCATCATCCCTATACGATAGAATATAGGCTACCATCCACATCATTCCTATACGATAGAATATAGGCTACCATCCCCCTCATCCCTATACAATAGAATATAGGCTACCATCAACCTCTTCACTATACAATAGAATATACCTAGGCTCCCATCCACCTCATCCCTATACAATAGAATATATACAGCCTACCATCCACTTAATCCCTATACAACAGAATATATACAGCCTACCATCCACTTCATCACTATACAATAGAATATATCCTAGCTCCATATTTAGGCTCCCATCAACCTCCTTCCTATACAATGAAAGATATACCTAGGCTCTCAATCCCATCCACCCCAGCCCTATACAATAGAATATATTGCTCCTAGCTCCATATTTAGGCTCCCATCCACCTCATCCCTATACAATAGAATATATTGCTCCTATCTCCATATTCAGGCTCCCATCCACCTCATCTCTATACAATAGAATAAATTGCTCCTGGCTCTATATTTGGGGTCCAAGCTCCATATTTGAGATTGTGTTGTGGAAGCCTACAAAAAAACATCGAGCAGCTCAACTAGGGAGTTCTGGATACTCCACTCAGCCATTCACATGCAGATGCTGACTTAAAAATTTCAATCATTTAAATTTTGGCTAACCTTAGGGAGTGTCGAGGACTATTAAAGATTTTGAGAATAAATCTTTCCTTTTTTAAAAATAAATGTTTGCAAACCTGATCAGATCACATCCTTGTCTCTGTGTCCTAAAATGTTTGCTATCAATTAACGGGTCAAGTATGATTTGTAATCAACACCGTTAGCAAAGATGTAAAGCATGGAATGCTACGTAAACGTTGGTCTACAAAATGATGTGGAGCTATGCAGTAATCTTTTCAATTACAACTTTTCATCTCTTTTCTAATAACAATCAAAAATAATAAAGTCAACATTTTTTTCACTGCAAATTGTTTCAGCTACTAAAACAGAAGCTGTTTTCGTTAAACAAATTGAAAAGAAAGAACATATTAATAAAATTATAATTGCAACTTTATTATATAAAACCTTTTTTAGACACACAAAACATTAGTAGTGAAACCAGTCTAGTAAAATAAGGTTAAAAATATGGTTTAATCTGGTGAAAGCAGTCCTGTAGGTGATACACTGTTGGGTAATCTTGATTGGATCAGATACACTTCTTCCTTCATTGTCAGTTCGGATCTTCAAACTATGGGCCTAAACAAAACGTAACAAATTAGGGAGACAAACACAAGGTTATAATGCAAGGAAAGTTAATTGCAGTTGCGCATAAACTGCGTACATATTGAAACCAGTTCTCTCTGAGCGGAATTTGTAAACAAAAACAGATGCATCAGTGTTTGTTTAGTATCGGAGGAGATTACAAGCATTAAATTTTGATAATTTTGATAATTCACATAATAGTTTCCTACGACCAGAATATTTAATTGATTTTTTATATGAAAGATGGATCGCATGTCAGACTTCGACATCCGTCTTGTGTTTACATTACCGCCCAGAGACAGTACACTGCAGTACAATGGATGAGTTCACCTCTGAAATAACTTTCCTTCCATTATTACCTTGGTCACACACAAAATCATGAACAGTCGGCACACAATGGGGTATCTG